TCGTATGCATCCAGTTGAAAAACACCTATTGTGAGTGTTTGTGTGTAACCTGGAGGTTATCTGCAAGAAGCCCTTAATTCAGTCTAGCTGCAGTCTATGTTCGTGGCAAGACAAAGCAAATGATTCCCTTTGTTGTTCCAGCATCTTTCCTGGCTCTGGTCTCTGCAGTCCCCTCCCTACTCATCAGTTGCCCTCCTTTTTTTCTGGAGTTCCCTCAAACTGTCTTCACCAGTCTGTAGCCGTGACCCTTGAGCAGGAGCTGGAGAATGTTGAACATCTGTTAACTGTCTTTGAAAGGGGGCAGGGAGCTGGGAGCTCATGGTGCAGGATTTCCAGGTACTTCAGCCTACGTAATGCCAGATCCTTCGAGTGCCATCGACTGTACGTGTGAAAACTATAGACACTTATTATTTCAATATCTGTGGCAGATTTTTGTTTGTTTGTTTGTTTTTAAATAGGAGAAGCAGTGAGTAGTCAGTAGTCCAGTTTCACTTTTTCATCCTTTTTTTTTTGTACAAATAGATGTTCTCAGGGCAGAATACAAACTTTTAACAGTATTCTCTAGGAAGAATCTCAGGAAGGTTTTTGCCCTTAAATAGAACATAGCTGGAAGAGAACCTTTGTTCTATGTTATATTTTATAAGTCTGGTTATAATTTTTTTCCTATGAAATTTCTTACCAACTCTGTGAAGCTGCTAAGGCATCATCCTTAGGTGTTTTTGTTTTCTTTTCAGCTAATCATGTGTTCTGAAATACATGTAGGCGTGATTCATCTTTGGTTTTCTTTTTAAATCTGTTTGGCTCTGTAATAGCAAAAAGTTATTTTTATCTACAGTTGTGCTTTTGGTTTTTGGTAGTAACAAACATCTTCAAGGTTCCTGTTTTCATGCCTCAAGGAGTACACAGTATTATCAGAGCCTTCCCCTCGCCAGCTCTCTTTCTCTCTTTGTTTTGTTTACTGATACTTCACAGTAAACCTCTGCAGTTATCATCAAGTGCTCAGGCCACAATAACAACATTTTGCCAAAGCTTATACTCTACATTTCTCCCCTTCAAAAGCAATGAAAGATTTGTTTAACTGATTATAGTTGGCTTTTCTTTTATGCCATCAAGCCCTTATACATTTATAAATTCCTGTAGAAAATAAAAAGTACCTCCAGATAAACTTTCATCATATCAAATAGATAGCTTTCTTAATCCCTTGCCCCATATTATCTCAGATACTGTTATTGCTTTCCCTTTAATAGATCTTTTATTCTTTGTGCTTTGAAAGACATCATTCACATTTGAATTTGGGAACTATCTCTCTTGCAGCCGTGCTGTGAAGAGCTCATGCTTCTGTTTCATCTGGGTACGAGTGAAGGCAAGAGGAAAAGGGATGTGAGAGGAGTTCTGAAAATTTTGCCAAGGCATTAGCCTTTAATATAATTAATGCAGCATAAAGGATCACTTGTATTCCTTGTGATGATCTGGGGAGGAATACAGGATTGTGTGTGCTGTTTTGGGCTGTGACGCTGCACCTACCCTATAAGCCATCTTTAGCATTATTGTTTTTTAAAATTCATGTTACAATCATGTAGTGGATGGATGATACAGGAGTACAACAGCAAAAGGACTAGCATGGATAGGATAGTATTTCAAAGGAGAAGTAAAGGTACTTACCTATCTCTGAAGATCTAGGCTCACAGGAAAGACCCCACAAGAGATAGATCTCCAACCAGAGACGTTTCCCCAGTGGCAGTCAGCACTTAAACGAGGTCTAAGAGAGGTGCAGCCAGGCTGCAGCCCTTCAGGTCACACAGCTGAATTGCCTTTGCCTGTGCTCTCAAGGCTGACCAGGTCCTTTCCCCAGGTGCTCAATCAGTGGTTCAGGCTGTGACTCAACAGTTACCATACAACATGTGCCAGAATGTAGACCCTGTGGTGACTAAAGCTCAGGCCTGCAAACAAAATAGTAATTTTCAGTGGTATTGGTGACTGCATCAAAAATGTGAACTTTTGGAAATGGGACCAACAAAAAGAGAAAAATCTTTTCTGAGGCCATGAGCCTTTTTCTGGGGCTGACGTTATATTTTGTCTATTGCTAGGGTTTCATAGCTGGTTGACTCCTAAAATATCACTTAGTTACAGTCTGCTTGCTGTTCTTCAGTGATGTGTGCAGTGATGCTGTGTGATTGATCACTTTCCTGTGATAAAACTGTAGATATCTGCATATATTTCTGCACAGCAAGTGCACGCTTTGGCAGTGCCTTTCGCAACCACCGATAGTCTACATTAGGTCATAGAAATCCAAGGCACAGTAACAATCATCGTTTTTTAAACGAGATGAGAGCTTTTCAGCAGATGGCAGCTCCTTTTGAGAAAGAACATATTTTTATGCCTCGGGCTTTCTTCAGAATTCAGGAAAACATTGCTCTGGCAAGTATTCCTCTCCCAGCCCATCCTTCTGCCCAAAGTGTGGAATTCTGTGCAAAGCTACCCTGGTTTTCAACTTGGGAGCAGGAAGCCTGGCAGAAAGGGACTGCACATTGCAGGAATGGTGTCTGCCCTAGAAATTAATCAAGAAATCAATTGGGGGGTGTAGTAGACTTTGCAATCAAATCTCAGTAAAGTTCAGATTCCAAATTCTAGTCCAGCGAGATCTGTGTTGCTTGCCTGAATTAACGTACCAGGTACATGGCCTTCATTGCTGTTCTGCCTCCAATTGCCTAGCTTTATTAGCCATTCTGACAGTGTGCCTTTTTGCAGTGTGCATGTTCCCTTGCATTGATGCTAAACCACAGATAGCTGAACCATAAGTGCACTGTCTCACCTTCATTTCCCGAGGCCACTCAGTGCCCTGTTCTGTTGTTAGGCATGCTGTAGTTGCTGCACTTCCTTTGTAACACCGAGAGTTGCTCCTGATTTCCTTTAACAATTCTCCTCCTTTAGTTATGCTACTGTAGGGCATACCTGCAAAGAAATTCTGCTCATAGAATTGCTGCCTTTCTTTCTGCAGTGATATTGGGCTTTTATGCCTGCAGTAGTTGGTGCAGCTTAATTAATCTAAGTCATTCTAATATTAACTGTGGTGAGGCTAGAAAAGCAATAAACAGTGCAGATAAGGGATGAAATGGCTTAATATCGTTAATTAACAAAACACAGAGCATCCAGGTACAAATATTACTTCTCTTCTAATCACTGGCAGTTGGATGAGACACATAGAACTGAGAAAACACGTCTAAGCTCTAAATGAAGGTGTAGTTCAGTTAGGTTTTCTTTTTCTTTTCTGGTTTTAATAGCAACTTCACATCATAATTAGGAGGATGAAATTCTTGCCAACCGAGTACGTAGTTTGGACAGATTAAAGGCAAGAGGTATGAGAAATGATAATTGCTTCGTGCTCGTCAGAATTCTATTGAAAATCTGACAGGATAATTACAAAATACCTACTTTGCAGAATGTCTAGGCAAATTTTTAAAGAGCTATTTAAAGTTGCTCGTTTACAGTCTGTCTGAAAAGTTTTTCCCCCTCTTTTGAAATAGTTCAGAGCCATTTAGAAGTGTTGTACATGTACAAATATAGACCTTATTCCCTTGTGCATGCCTGGCTGCATTCCGCTGCACACCCCCAAAGAAAATTGCCCATCATTTTTTTGCATTACCCCCTCATCCATCGCCCACATACTCACCCTTAGCTTTCCGCTGATTATTTCACCTGATGGAAAGTGCAACTCTGTTACTTTCAACAGGCTGAATCATAGCTATAGATAAATGAACTGAGAAAAGAAAACATCCCAATGGACTGCACAAAAAAGTCTGTTTTGACTGACAGCAAAAAGTTGTTCTACTTTCAGCACATCTCATCTTAGATGGCATGGTGGTGTTGGGTTGATGGTTGGATTTGATGGACTTGGAGATCTTTTCCAATCTTAAGGATGCTGTGATTCTGTGAAATGGCTTTTCTTCACCTGCTTTTGTAACTTGGAAGTCAGGCTCACCAAATTGCCAGTTTTCAAAGAATATTCTAGACATAGCTGCCAGAACCATACTGACCCACAGCATGGTTCTGGCCCTGGAAGTGTTAAAGAAACATGTAAATGTTGTAGTGAAGGACATGATTTCATGGTTAGCAAGAAACACTGGTGATAGGTGAACGGTTGGAGGGTTGGATGATCTTACAGGTCTTTTCCAACCTTCGTAATTCTAGGATTTTACTGGTAGCTGAAGGACTGAAATTTTGACTTCCTACTGAACTTCACCACGTGAGGTCACTTGAATCACAGGGCTGCAGAGTTCTGTAGAAAGGCCACGGAATGGCCCAGAGCTCCTGTAGGAGTTGACTTATGCCTTTATGTTCTCTTCAGCCATCTGTGTCCAGCTATAGGACCTGACACCAGCACCACCTGGTCTCCTCAGTTCCGAGCTCTGGCAGGGCTAGAATTTGTGAGGGATTTTTGGGGAAGGATGAAGAGATCTTGGTTAGTATAATGGGCTTGTAACAAATGAGGTGAGGTTCACAAAAAAGAGTTGTTTCAATAATGGCAATTCAACATGAGTCATCAATATCATTATTGTAGACAACCAACAGGGGTGTCAAGGCCCTTGTACACCTCCTGTGTGACAGGAACAACTGCATTTTTTGTTACGTTCAAGAAAACAGGATGTGGGAACCCCAGGATGGATGCCCACGGGTGAACAGCCTTGCTGTACTGTAGCTGTAGTCAACTGCACGCTGTATTTTATGTAGTTTCCCAAAGAGATGCTTTGGGACCACAGTGATAAGGTTAATTACTGTAAATTTGGAGCTTATGTTTGTATTTTTATTTTGAAGATAAGATAATCTTCATAGAAAGATGAAAGAGAAAGGATAAAGGTGCCAGGCATAGAATTAGTTCTATTTTGTGTGCTTCTGTGTAGTGGATTACCTTGTTTCTCAAGAAATACACAGTACAGGTTGTGTAACAAAGTGTTTCTTCTGTAGAATTCTGATCTCTCCCTTGCTTCTTTTTCTTTAAACAGTTTATGAAGAACCAGAAGACCCCAGTAATAGATCATTTTTTTCAGAAATTATCTCTTCAGTGTCAGATGTCAAATTCAGTCACAGCGGTAGATACATGCTAACAAGAGATTACCTCACTGTCAAGGTTTGGGATCTGAACATGGAAACAAAGCCTGTAGAAACGTACCAGGTAGGTGTCTCCTACTGACCACCTCTTCACTGAAATGCAATGATAGAAAAACATTTCTCTATTAAAAAACCGTAGGTTTTCTTAAGCTTTTCCTGCTTGCTTTGAGTAACTGCAAGTTAAGAGTTGTTAACCATTGTGATTAAAGTGCTGATACTGGAATCCTTGCAGTTGCAAAAGGACAATTTCAGCAGTAGTAAAGAAAGATGTGCAACTCCTAGGGAATTGGGATAACAGTGTGGAATGGGCTCTTGAAAGAGAAACAATGCTTCCAGCAAGGGAAATCATCTCTTCACTTTGGCATCCATTTTCAGTTGATGTATTCTACTATTAACATTTGAAAGCAAGTGAGGAAAGGATGTTGTGAATTGATTAGCGTTCTGCTCCCTCTGGGACTGCTGAGAGTTTACACCTTTATCATTTCAGAACTTTTTTTCAAAACTTCACTATACATTTCTCCCTCGTGCCTAGTTCTAAAAGAGATCGTTGTTAAACCCTGACATTACCACTGACACAGCACTTCGTGAATGCCAGACAGACACATCTGGTTGCCTGAATTCATTGTGATATTATCCAGACAAAATGCCGGTGGCTGCAGCCAGTGCTGCGTTTGTGCTCTGACATCTGTTCTAGTTGGCAGTGGAGGTCTGAGCTTGTGACTCTGCTTTCAAAAGGGAAAATGTGTCTGGGACACAGAAAATGCCTGTAACAAACATGCAGTGAGAAAAAGCTGTTAAGCTACCTACAGAAGAGTGTGAAAAGAAGGGAAAATGTCATTCATGTGGCTTATGCATAGAGATGGTCCTGCAGTACTGTGGAACTTCGTGTCCAGTGGCAAGTGGGGCACAGCAGTTCACAGTAACTACTATGAAGATTATATTTAAAATAATATCTAAGGAGAATTTGGTGGTGAGTCTTGTCAAAACAACCATCAGTAGTATTGGAGGTGGTTATTAGAAAGTGTTCAGTAGACAATGTGGGCAGTGTTTTCCAGTGCACCCGTTGCATTTCAGTGGATACCCTGTGCTGTATCTCCTGTTAGCATTGGGAACTCTGAGCCTGTGTATCTTTAAAATGACAGAATTGGTTTTGCTCTGAAAATGGCAGTGTTTGCAATGCTAAATGTGTTTGAAAAGTTGATATGCTGTAAAAATTGAGTGGGGAGGGTAAGAGTGAGACAGTGTTTTATAGAAAAGAATTGTATCTCAGGTTTTAGGAACTTAGATAATATATTATTTTATATTCATGCTAATGGAGTAGGCAACCTTCTCCCCAGAGAGGAATAGCTGGTCAATCCAACCTGTTCATCTTGGCTTTGACATCTGCTTTTATTTCCTGCTGTTGCTAGCTATGAAGCAAGCTGGCCACCTTTAAATCAGTCTGACACCCAACAGTGGGGCCAATTAAAAAGTTACATTTCTCCATGCTGAGATGTGGAAATTGATTATAATGTGAATTTCTCAGTACTAGGCATTGCAGTCAGAACAAAGAAAACAGAACTGTGTTCTGGCTGCATTACTTTAATCCAGAGATTGCCTTTCTTTTTCAGTGCTTTGTGAAGAGCATGCAGATGCAGTGTCAGGTGCTGTAGCCCAATGAGGAGAATCCACAGCTCAGAGGCCTTAGGAAACCCATAGCATAGGGCTGTGTAGGATTCACACAGTCCAACCGCTCTCAGCAACCTCTGATCTTTTTTCAGCTGCAGAGTTGTTATCAGTGCTGTGGCCAAAAGACTGCTATTGCATCGAGCAGCTGTTGCAGAAACACTTTATCTGCTGACAGTGATTCAAACATGGTTGTCTTCTGTTTATGCTTCACATAGAAGAAAAGTAGGCAGAGTATGGTGCCCTGGACAGCACAGAGAGCAATACAATAGAGTTGCCAGTGCTTGAACATTGCAAGGCATCCCTGCCTGAAAGGACGCTCTTTTCCTGCTGCCCAGGTGAATGATTCCAGCAGAACCATACCAGCAGCTACCAGAGGTGAATATGTTTGGAGCTGATAATAGCTTGATCCGCTTTTGGCAGGGTTTATTGTATAGGGATTTGGACCAATGTGTCACTTAAGCACAATTCTTGATTGTAAATAGTTGGTCCCAGTGAAATAGCTCCCCACGTAGTCGTATTGCTGTGTAATTCCATAGCAGAAAATGACTTGATAATTCCATGAAGGTCTGACCTAGAACAGCACAGTGAAGGAAGGGAGAATGCCTGGGGTTAGTAATGAATTTGATTGGGATTGGGATGTGGAAAGAACAATATGTACAGATGAAGCAAATCTGATTTTACCCCCAGTCTGTTGTGGCAGATGAGCGTGAAAACAAGGTGAAAGTTAAGTGCTTTCTGTTGGATTTTCCTACTCTCTGAGGGTCTGAATGTGGTCAAATGTGGTGACCAAAGGGCCAACAGGAAGAGCAATCTGCTGTCCCAGGCCATTTGGGAGTCAGCCAAGAAAAAGGGGCTGAGACCTTGAGGAAATCAGCAAGACAACCGAGAGAGAATATGCAAAATGCTTCTTGGCAGAACTGATGAAAGGCACAGCTCTGAGCTGCGGAGTCGGACACTCATTGCAGAGGGTGTGTGCATTACAGTGGTCATGACAGATGGCTGCTGGAAGTGGGAACTAGGGAGGCCTAGAAATGGCAGTCAGCAGGCAAATATGATCTGCTTTCTTTACCTGCCTTAACCTTTGTGTTTCTTCCACGTACTGGGAGCTCACAAACGTGGTAATGGAAAGAGCTCCAGTTCTGTAAATGATGGTGGTAGCACAAAAAGGCTCTAAGTAAAGAGAAAGTGGAAGGATTTAATTACAAAGGGTGCAATAAACTGCATCAGTTCCGAATATTCTGACCTAGGAGGTAAATGCTCTTCAGGGCAGAGGAGGGTGCTGGGGGTGTGCAGGAAGAATCGCAGTCAGCAGACCCTTATTCAGATGGCCAGGAACAGAGCAGTTTGTATGGACCCACAAAGCCAGTGCCCCTGTGCCAGAGCTCAGCAGTGCTGTCGGGTTGCTGTGTGTCCCCGGAGGCCCTCCACACAGATTTGTTTTACAGTTTCTGCAACTGCTAGAAGAAAACACCAGGAATGAGAGCGCATCCATAAATTCACCTAGGCAGGGGTTCTCTAGCTCATTATTTCCATGCAAAAGGAAACCAATCATCCAGAAGGAAAACTAATCAAATTCAGCAAAGGGCTGAAACAGTTTGCATGAGGTCTGTCTCTTTATGAGAATTCTTATTCAACCCAGAGGAGAGGTCTTCTCCTGGTTAATCCCACTTTTCAAGTATTTATGTGAGAATGTACAGTGTTGTTTTTAAGTCTCAGCCAAATAGTAAATGTCCTTGGGCTAAATTAGTGTTCTAATTCGCAGCCTATGGAACTGCAGCCTTGTGCTGTATTTTGCTTCTGAAATACCTTACCCAAATGTATGTATTACCACACGCGACAGGTTCTTTTAATGGAGCCAGGTTCCTTCTGCCACAAGAAGCGATAATCCACTTATTTTGGAATGTGACATATTTGTTACAATTTAAATTAGATTTCGTGCACGTTAATTAGCACATCTAGGGCATCAGGTGGTGAAACATCTTTGGGAATTAGGCTGGCATTGAGAAAATCAGCCAAGCGAGAAACAAGTGTGTTGTGGAGGGGTGGTTTGCAGCCTGCTGAGGAAGGTATGCTTCATGCCTTCCTGCAGCAATAATTCTGCAGCACCTGGTTAATTGGGTTGTGGGAAGGCGTGGATAGCTTCTTTAAACACAGTATCTTCTGCAGAGTCACCAATCTGTGCAGCATAATTTGCAAGTGACTGCGAGAGATAAAGCAGGGAGTAGGGGACTGGCTTTGGAGTTGGTTGTGTTGTTTCATGGATAACAGCTGCTGTTTTCTACAAAACAGGTCCACGATTACCTTAGGAGCAAGTTGTGTTCCCTCTATGAAAACGACTGCATCTTTGACAAGTTTGAATGTGCGTGGAATGGATCAGACAGGTAATCCATCCTTATGTCCACCATTGCCTTCATTTAGCAAAAGAGCACCCTCCATAGGATGGACCACTCAAAAAGTAAGGCATTATGTATGGTTATTTTCCATATAAATTTCTATCTTTGCATGGTTGCGCTCAGGCTGATAGGAGGCACATGGTTATTGGTGTAGCTTTGTCTCCAGCATCCATGGACATGATGCATATATATATTTTTAATCTTGGCTCATGCCTTATGGGAAAACAAATTCTTTTTTTTTTTTTTTTTTTTTTGCCTAAAACAGTAGGTGCAGGAATTGAAAAGAATGCAGGTGATGCACACAGCCTCAGCAGCGTACTGAGGAAGCTTACGTGTGATCCTGCGTTTACATAAGCTCTTTCCAAAATCCAGTCCATTTATTGAAAATGGGGAGAGAGAAAAAGCAGAGACAGACCACTGATTCTCTGCAAACTGCTGCCACCTTCACACTGATTCTTCTGCAGCTTATACCTTATGTGCTCCTCGGTTTTATGAATGCAAGGAGTGGGTCCTGTTTGTATCTTGATTACAGCATCTTGTTGAATCTTTTCACAAGAGATACTGACACAAATGAGAAGGAGAGAGAGGGAGGGTGGAATTCAGCAGTACCTTATTGATCACAGATAGTGGTGGTACTTTGGGCAGTGGGGATGTTGCATTATAAGAACTAGGCAGCCTAGAGGACCCGGGGATGATAAAAATGAGTGAATCCAGGAGGATAAAGTAAGGCGAGGATTTTAGCTGGAAGAAAGCACGAAATTCCATTTTACCAATTGGAAACAACTCATGGGGACATTCATACTCCATGGAAGGGATTAGCAGACTGTAGAATGCATGAGAGAGGGGGCACAAGCCAGGTTTGCATGGCACACAGTGACTCATTGGCTCAGCACAGCTGGGAGCCAAAAGGCAAGAGCTGCCAGTCAGTTTAGCGTGCTCAGAGAGCTTGGAGCTGTGCCTTCAGCTCACTTAGCCTCACCTTTGGGGAAAGCAGTCCATCTCATGTCACAGGGAGCAGGGATGCATGCCTCGGTAATATTTGCTCACCAGGATTAACTCAGTGTTGAGTGTACTCCATGATACAAACTGCAGGCCGTTTAAAAAGATGTAGATGGACCACCCTGGACAACATGCTTCCTAGATTATCATTGCACTTGGGATACCAGCAGTTGTTTTCAGTGTGGTCAGAAAGTGGGAACAACCCACAAAAATATGAGGGGAAGAGCCTGGTTTTGGAGCTTCTCTCTGACCTCCCAACATCGTGCATGAGAGGATGGGTTGACTCCAGAGATTCTGAGTGCTGCTTGATCCTGCCTGGTAGTTTGGTTCTACTGGAAATACCAAAGTAAAAGCCTTTCAGTGGTGCTGACCGCTGTCTAAATCTGATATGAAGAATCACACAATCATAGAATAGAAACACAGAATCAGTTGAGTTGGAAGGGACCTTTAAAGGTAATCTAGTCCAGCTGCCCTGCAATGAACAGGGACAAATCAAATAATTCGGATATTCTGAAACCTGAACAAACATTCAGGCCATTCAGGTCCTTTCAGACCATTTTGCCTATCCTCAGAGGGAGTTCCCAGTATGTTGTGCAGGATGGGCAGCCACGTGGCTCAGAGTCCTTCTGCCTTCATCGCATGAAGTGCTGCCATCCACGCTGATGAAGCAAGACCACTATCTGAATGGCTGCCTGCTAATAACACAAGTTTTATTTAATAGCAGGATGTAAAATGAGCGTAATATTTTAGCTCCTACCTGACAGATCAGAAAGATCAGCGCAGTAAGTAATTATTAAGTGGGAGCCTTGCACTGTGAGGGCTTAATTTGTTGTACTGCCCAAACATCAGGGGGTTGTTAGCCTTGCACAATTACCAGATCTGTCACTAAGCACAATATGCTGCTCTCGAGTGTAAGGAGGCATTCTGTAGAGTGGCTGGAATGTTTGACAGAAGATAAGGGTCTGCTCTAGTTTAGTTGTTTCTTTTTAAGAGTCAAATATACCAGTGCTGATGCTCATCTTTTGAGATGATGAAATTCATATTCAATCTTCTGAGCTCCTTGCTTCTGTGCACAACAAACATTTTATCATTTTGCTACATACTACAATCATTTTGGCTTTGGTGGATCATAATTTACATTACATTTGGGTACCAGCAGCTATTAGAGAGCAGTTCATTTGAATAGTTAAGTCACTTACTTTGATCCTTTGGTGTATGTTTTTCAACAAAGCCTTTCTGCTAAAGGTAAGCAATGCTTACTAACTGTGGTATTCCTAAGAGATGCTATAATATGGCATTAAATCATATTCATAGCAGTAATAATTGCAGTTCTAAACATGTTACTTCTATCCTTTGCAGAGTTTACGGTGACAAGATAAAGTGAAAAGCTTGTTCATTTAAAAATGAAAGCATGCTTATTACTTGGGATAAAATAGTTTTTATTAATTTTGTCGTTATTAAGGAGTTAGCATAGGCAATGATAGAACCTGATGGTGAGGCTGCTTACAAAAAAATCAATGTTCGTGAGCTCTGATTAGAACGTGATTGATGCTCAGTTTCTCCAATGAACAGGAACTAATCTGATCAGACAGAGCCTATCTCATTTGCTGAAGGGCACATTAATCAGCAGGCACTTGGGCAGAAACAGTGGTCAGGGAGAGAGTCAGGCAGAGGTCTTACGGTAATTCAGCCAGATGAGCACATATTATCTGTGGTGGAGTATATTACACTAAAATCATGCCATCCTTATTGTATATACATCATTACGTGACTGTGGAGATACGTGAGCTCTGCTTTGTATGCCACTTGCGTTTGATTCTTCCATTCGACTCCAAAGTCAAGGCTTTCAGTAACAACCCCCAGCACCCTGCTACTTACCCGTTCTTTTATTCAGTTATACCTCAAAAATTAGTATTTATAAATCTTTTCTTGTTTGTTTGTGATATACTGAAGAAATAAGTAAAAGAAAAATTAATGTAGTGCATTCTACATAGTAGCAAATGCATACCTGAGTGACCGTTCTGTTTTTAAGACTGCATTGAATGGTGTATGGCAGGCTTCTGAATGCCATCACCATTAGTGCTGTGCTGTAAGCAGATGAATGAAGCCACACAGCACTGTGCAGTCAGCCCCTCCCTGCTGAAATGCCAGTCATCCTGGGGTACAGCCACCAGCCTTCGCTCTGTCAGGTGGGATTGGCAGGTCCTGGGGCACGGGCTGCTCACCGCCTGTTCCTGGTGGCACTGCGCTCTGTTCTGCTGGGGGACATCGGGGCTCGGCATGACTCGTGTTAGCCTGGGAGGGCTGGGAGTTCCTCTTGTTTCCAGTCTTAACCACAAGCAGGGTTTGAACACCTGGTCTTTAAGGTCCCTTCCAACCTAAGCCGTTCTGTGATTCTCAGGATCGTCACAGGAAGATGTAAGGCCTTGCGTGTTAGTCCTAGAAGGTAGCAGGGTAGGTTAGATGGTATTGAAATCTTGCAGGTGTGGGGGCTCAGCATAACTGGGCAGATGGTTACAGGTGAAGGAAATGGCCCCGTCCATGTTGGGTGCCTGGAGGGGCAGCTCTGCAGAGACTCAGGACAGCAGTCTGGAGGCAGCTGCTGTGAGCTCTGCTCTGATGCAGTGGTAAGTCTCCCCCTCAGAGCCTTAGGGGGCAGGCAGGGCTGGTTTCATTTTTCCATGGTCTCTCAGCCTGCCCTGTGCTGGCCATTGAAGCTTTCCCAGACCTTGCCTCGTCTCATCCTGTGAGCCCTTGACTGGCAGTGAAGGGGGGAAGCTCCAACATGAGCTGGACTTCTCTGAACAATAGAGATCTATATGTGAAGAAGAAACTGTCACGCAGCTCAGAAGGCTGATCTGAGCCAGATGAGCCAGATTTGGGCCTGCTTGGCCCAAAGCAGGTTTTAAAACCTAAACAGAACAGTGTATGATTGGGTTTTTAAGCAAGCCCTAATTCTAACTGATAATCCCAGAGCTTCAGGGTCAAGGCAGCTGAATCAAGTTGTAGCGATTAAAACTGTCTGTGTGCTGGGAAGGGCTGCTACATGGATGATATTAAAGGGCTTGGCTTGCAGTAAAGAAATCTGAATAAAGTAGGGGAGTAACACAGATTTGAGAAAGGCAAAAGTACGCCGGTTCTCAGTGACTGACTGACTGAGGAAAGCTCAGTGGCTGAATGTAGTGTGGAAAAAAACCTCACTGCAGTTCAGTATAAATGCTGAGGGCCAGTTGGACACACCTGAGGTTGGCGGAACAGGAAATACGCTGATGTTGGACTGCAGTGGATTTTTCCTTCCTCCTGTAAGAATACATTTGTTCTGCTTGTAAATAATGGTTAAACACTTTGGGCTCAGAGATGTAAATTTAGCACAGCTGCCAGGGAGGTGGTGGGGTCACCATGCCTGGAGGTGTTCAGGAACCGTGGAGATGTGGCACTGAGGGACGTGGTTAGTGGGCATGGGGTGGTGGGTTGGTGGTTGGAATGGATGATCTCGGTGGTCTTTTCCAACCTTAACGATTCTGTGATTCTTGGAGCCGACTTGGAGCAGTGGGCAGAGAGGAAGGCTCAGCTCCCATGGGGTTAGAGCCTCTTAAAAAAAAAAACATATACATATATTTGTATATTTAGTTATTAACTCATGCTTTTTTAAAAAGCAGCTTTGCTTCTGCATGCTCCTTAGGGTCCACTGCTGTGTTGGGAGCCCTGAATGTCCCTGCACAGCTGAGGTGGTCCCTCTGACTGTACTTCTGAGTGAGATCAGAGGTTCAGAGGCTCTCAGCCAGGGCTCATTTGGGTGCTGCCTCAGGCTTCTGTGGGTTGGGGTGGGGGACTTCTGGGTGGGGAGCTCTGGTTTCTTGGACCAGCCTCACTGGGAAGGGTGTGGGTCAGGAGCTCGTGGTAACACTGCTATGCAGAGCAGGTAGCCAGAGATACAGGGCAGGCACTACCTATATTCAGCTGCTATTTCTGTATACGCAGACATACATATATAAATCCTCCTTATGGCATACGTTCTGTCACTGTACATTACATTTTCCTGAACAAGAATAAATTGCAGGGTTGCATTGAGTTCTTACTCTCTTTAATGTTATTTTAAGCAGCAGGTAAGGTTATAATCCATCTGGGTTTGTGACCTTGAACAAGAACGGACGCTTTCTCATTTCCATGATGCTATTTTTTACTGAGCCATTAAAATACAGAAAAACAGGGCCAGCATGAAAAGAAGTCATCTACATACGTTAAAAAAAGCCCTGTGATGAATCCAACCAGAGGAAACAGACTTTAAAAAATATATGAGCTGAAGAAATTAAAACGCAAATGGACTGTAAAAGCAGCTTTACTGCAAGCAAAACCTAAAAAAAAGATTTTTGACAAGCACTTATCTGTGCTGTTGGTGCATTGGTCCATTGCCTGCGTGAGCACCACTCCCCTGATGAGTTCTGGCTGCATCTGGTGCAGGGGCTGCATGCCCAGGAGCACCAATCCCCTAGTGCAGCTCTGCAGGCTCTTGGGGCCTTGCAGCCCCAGCTCAGACCCCTCCGGTGCTGGGCTGAGCTGTCAGCATCACAGTCATGGTAGTGCGGGGATAGGAAACCACCTCTGCTTTTTGATGTTGTGAATAGCCATCGTAGCAGGAGCCCCAGCGACGAGGCACAGTGATTTGGAAGGAGTGAAACATTAGATTTACTGCTGTTTATTCAGTTTCTGAAGTGGGCACTAATCTTGATCAATAGGCTTTCTGCAGCTTCTGGGATACGTTTTATCAAGCTGTCAGGCTGCCTGTTCTTTTGTTTAGCCCATGAGATTGCTCAGGTGCAGCTCAATAAGCAGCACAGTGCCAGGTGAGGCAGGGATGGGGTGTGTCTGCAGACAGCCCCGCTGCAGCTGCTACTGCCCATGGACAAATGCCTCTGGTGTCCGGCGCAGGGCGGAAGCAGCCTGTCAGCTGGCTGCATGCCATCAGCAGACCGCGGAGCAGGACGGAACTGCGTTGCTCATTTGTACTGCAGCAGCTCCTGAAGGCTCCAGAGCAGATGAAGGTGATGCTGGCTGCGAGCTGTGCATGCAGCGTAGGACAGACAGCTCCTCAACGCAGGGGCACCAAATCTGATGAGCTGGTGTGCAGGGCAGAGAGCACAGCTCGCACTTTGCATTGTGCTACTGCTGGGTGTGCAGCTCTGCTGGCTGGCTGAGCAGATCCCCCCAGGCAGGAGACAGCAAAATATGAAAGCAGTGTGGCTGTCACCCGTGGTGGAGATTAGTTTGTTAAATGCAGAGTGCGTGAAATATGCTTGTTTGGCTGTACTGAGCAGGCAGATATCGACTGACTGCCTACATCTGTCTTCCAACTCGGTGTGCAGCTCCTCCCATGGAGACCTACCTGGTGGTTTGGGGTGGGTTCCCCTTCTGGAAGGGAAGTGCTGAAAGTCACTGTGTTTGGGGCTGAGACAGAAAAGGTGAGCAGAGTGTGCCCACAGATGTGGATAGTGAAAAGCTTTGCAGGAGATGAGCTCTCAAGCAAGGTTTTAAAGTCCATGAGTGTGTGTAAGAATCCAGTAACCTGAGGGCCGAGGATGAAATCCTGAATTCCTTAAAGCTGCTGACAAAATGCCTCCCCTTGGGGAATGGGGGAACGAAGAAACCATTATTTCAAGCTGATTAATGGGGGACTTATGCAGAGTGAAGTAAGGTTCTTGTCCCTTTTTCCAAGATGCAGAGATACATCCTGGCTTGAATTCTCCTTCACACTTTCTATACAAGAGACAAAGGAACCCTATTTACCTGTACATTCAGTTTGAAGAAGTATTATATACATTAATTTTAGAAGTGTCTAGACTTACCAACAGGTCTATAGCTTCAGAAAGAGAAAGGCTTTATTTTGAAAACAAATGTACTTTGCAAACTCTATTTCTTTTTAAAAGATTGTCTCTGGATCCATGGTAATCTCAGAGTCAGAAGAGGTCTGGCTGTGGCACAGGGCGCACTGACACGTCACATCGTTGTCTTGTGAAGTCAGCTTCATGGAGTTGGGGTCCTGACTTGTGATGGTTTGTGTGAATGGCCAGGGTGCCACTGCTGGGGAAACTGTACACTTCACTGAATACTTTCAGAGGGAAGGAGGAGACGTTGGCAGGGAGAAAACTTCACTTTGGGAGGGGAAAAATCCATGGTTTTATTCTTTCCCAGCTAAAACCAGAAGACATCCAGGCATTGCTGCTCAGCTGTCCTGAGGAATTCCTATTAGCAGACCTCCCACAAGCTGCTCTGTAATTATATCCTTGTTTTTTCCCCTCCACCCTCTCTTTCTCTCCCCAGTGTCATCATGACAGGTGCATATAACAACTTCTTTCGAATGTTTGACCGTAACACCAAGCGGGATGTGACCTTGGAGGCATCCCGCGAGAGCAGCAAACCCCGCGCTATTCTCAAGCCCCGGAGAGTCTGCGTTGGTGGCAAACGGAGGAAAGATGACATCAGTGTCGACAGTTTGGACTTTACTAAGAAGATCTTGCACACAGCGTGGCACCCGACCGAGAACATCATTGCTATAGCAGCGACAAACAATCTCTACATATTTCAGGATAAAGTGAACTCAGAAATGCACTAGGTTTATCAATACCCCTCTGTATCTACAAACCAGCCTCTTGAGAGTTGTAAAAGGATGTGATCTTCTCCAAAAATTAGGGCTTCTGTGGTGGGATTTGTAGGTTGCATCCTTTCATCCCTCAGCCTGTATCATTACTGGTGGCAAGCCAACTATTCTCATCACTGCAACTGTATGAGTAAAAGGCACGACTGCAAATCCAGCCCCGTGGTCTGTGTCGGTTCCTTAATCCCACAGGGGCACTTACACAGCTGGGGAGTGTTCTGAGGAGGTCTGGGACTCCTCACCTCCTGTCAGTGCTTTGAGGGTCTCAGTGGTTCACAGGACCACGTCGTTCTGGTGCACTGCCTGCTTCTGCGGCCCACACTTACCACACTGTTAGAGCTTCTGCTTTAATCTTTTGATCAGTATTTCTTTTTCAGTAACATTTTTCCATCTTTCAACTAAGCTGAGCCTGTGCGCGAACGAATGAGTAGCCGCATCCCTTTGGACCACGTGGCACCTTGGAAGGGCCTCCCAAATTCCTGCTGCTGAGAAGCTGCCCTGTGTCACCTGTCCCATTCCCTTCTTTACACTCTTGTATTATGTATTCACGTTACTAACATTGTGCTTTGACTTCCTGAGTGAATAAGCAGCTGGCTGCTGGAGTTACTCAGCCAACTTGTTTCAGGAAGTTCGTTCTTCCTCAATCTCTTTGCTCTGTTTAATATTTAGCAGCTTTCCCCCTAACTTGGCATTGCCGCTGCTCGGGGACCGGCTGCTCAAACACAGCCCAGCAGAGTTAATCCATAAGCCTACACTGTCGCCTGGCGGGGGGAGTTCTGGAAGCCTTGGCTAACAGTGCTGTCCTTGGAGGCAAATCCTGACTTCAGTGGAAGTAAAGTCACAGCTCTGCTGGCCACTCCAGGAAATCCCATGTTTGCTCAGTGCAGAATGGTTATTCTTGTCCTGGCATATGGGGAATACAAACAACGCCGTGATAGCTGTAGCTATAAGAAGAATGGTGCTGTGAGAGGTGGCTTTGCTCAGTGAACTGTGAGGTGTCAGTGAGCCCAGTGCTGGGTGATGTGGGTATTCCTGGAGAAAGAGGAAAACACAAAGTCCAAACCAAACCTTCTTCCACATAAACACATCACTGTGAGATCTATAGCTCTTACAGATCTGTCTTTGCTTTCAAATGAATAGGATGAAAGTACATGGAATTATGTGCTCCATTTGGGAAGTCCATGGGAACAGTGTAGTGCTAGGAGAACTTCAAGCACAAGAAAGTTCTGTCTGCCTCCCTAACAGCTCTGGAAGAAAAACTGATATCCCAAAGGATTTCTTCGCAAATCACAAACACGAGAGCACAGCTGAGATGATGGCGTTAATGAGCCCATATTAAAACTCCTCAGAAAAAAAAACAACAACAAAACAAAACCATTTCTTTAAGCCGTTATGCACTGATGTCTTTGGTAAGTGGAGAACAGACTGATAAAGGGATCTGCATGCTTTCCTGTTTTGTTTTGGAGGAAAGGATGGGTGAAAAGCTACTTTAAAGACCTGAAAAAGCCTGTGGCTCTTTTATAAGACATCTTAACACAACACGCCAAACCTGTCTGAAGTTTTCTACATCAGTGCTGTACATTTTGTGTGTGGAAGCACAAACGCACGCGCATTGGTTTCCAGCCATACTGAACACATCCGGTACGAATCGCGTAGGTGAATTTAAAGGGAATGAGGAACGTTTGTTTGTTAGATGCTGTGTGCTCCAGCAGGCACGGGCAGGATGTGTACATATTTATTCTAACGAGATTCAACAAAACCACTTTTTTTCCTTGTAAAGAGGTTTAAGGATGTGGTAAGTCGTATAGAAAAGTTGCTCATGCCAAACTGCTGCTTAAGGGCGTCATTGGATTTCTTTGACTTCTGGCCTCCTCATTAACCTTTGCAAACCTTTGCAGCTCAAAAAAAAATTGCTCTGAGCTCATATTGGCATTTACAGGTAGAAGTTCTGTAAGACATGTATTTAGCCTTCACCGTGCTCAAGTAAGAGACTATAGATAACTTACTATAAAGCAGCTCTTAATACAACTCCTTTCTTTTTTCTTTCCTTTTTAATTTGAAGTACCTTACCCTGTTACAGCTCTGGGTACCAAAAAGATCATGTTAAAATTAAAGAAATAAATATATCTTCGGAGCTTTATAAAACTAATGAAACACCCAACCAAAATAACACAGAGTGGTTACAGAGGAAGTAAATAGAAATCTCTCAAAGACCAGTATTCATTCACATCTTTGACTTTGCTACTACAGTTGTTTCCTGGTCTTCTTGAATGTACGGAAAGTTAACATCGTCATTGTGAACGTTTCCAACTTTCTTTCTCTTTTTAGTTTGAGCTTTCAGTGGTGTAGAGTAAATGATGGTAAAGTCGGTAAATCTGATTGTTTTGAAAGCTGTTGTTCATGGCTGCATTCTTTGTGTTGCACAAATTAGCTAACTGTTGTTGAATAAAAATATAAATATGTTAATACCAGCTTTTTCAATAAAATACAACCAAAAAACGGCACAAGTAGATGACTTCAAGGCACAGCTTATTTTTAAGCTAGGTGTGAGAGACTCGTTAGGCTCCTTGTACAAAGCAGGGAAAGTCACAGGGATCAAAGCAAGTGACTGAAGTGTGTTGGGGCGAGTGGGGGAGCAAACGTAGGGAGTGACTTCCTGGCTCAGCACGATGAGCAGCGCACGCACAGACCGTGCAGCTGGAGACACACTTTCACTTCTCACCTTGGGCTGCAGCCCAGGTTATGGTATGTTATGCCCTCAGAGATGTGCAGCGCAGTCTCTTACAGGTGGAACAAGAGATGCACAGTGCAAGGGAACACACGTAATCATGGGCAAAACCCGCAGCCACGTGGCTGTCCAGCAGCCAGGGTGGGCACATCGCATTTCCACTGACCGTCCCGACTGCTGCCCAACTGTCCCATGCCACCATGAGGCTTGACCCTGACCTTGGGCTTTTATTCTGAATCTCAACCAGCCAACCCTGCCTGCATGTTCCATACAGAGCCAGTGGCTTGGGATCCTTGGGACCTCAGCACACACACCCCAAGAGGCTGAGTCAGCTCCTGTGCTGGATGCAGACCAGGGTGCATTTGCCTCTGCTGTTAGATGATGCAGGGTAATGCTTGCACAGCTCTCCCAGAGCTTACACGCTAATTCCATCCTCTCCCCTTCCCATCTTGGGAAGACCCGGTCAATCCCCCTCATTTAGGTGGGCAAACATGGCTTGATACCGAAGAGAGGAATCTCAGCTGAAAACCAATACATCAAGCAATTCACTATTTACCCTTCCAGTTTCCCTTCTTATCCCCAAATGCCTAGCACAAGCAGGATCCAGATGGCCAACTCGTCTGCTCGTGAAATATTCACAAAAGCCTATTTAGTAGCAGCATACAACAATTTAACCCTTTGTGGAATGGGGATGGGAAGAACGCTGATATGAGCTGCTTGGTTTCCCCATTTGCAGCCAGTAGTCACCCTGCTTTCAGGTAGAGTTGCATCCTTTGAACTTTTCTAAGTTTGTGATAAGTAATCATTGGTAAGAGAGCAAGTATAAGGATTGTTTTCAGTAACATTATTGCCATCAATTTGCTCCCACTCCCAACAGCAATCCTTTTCCATTTGCCGCCTTCTCAGTAAGTTGCATTAAATCTAAAATTAGACATGAATTCACTTATCTTTCCCATGTGGTAGAACCTCAGAAGGCAGCAGGATCACTGGAGGGAATAAAGAGATAAAGAATTAGGCCTAATTTTTTTAGAAGCTTGGAACAGGGTACGGTTCCTTGGTTTTGTGAAGCCATGAAACAGCATGGATGGTCAAAGTGCATGGCAGTGTGACACAGATCCTGGAAAGCGTTGCTTGGGAGTGAAAGCTTTTAATAGCAGTGATTTTCTTGTTTTAATTCTCTCTGAAATTGGACTACAATCAAACTTCTACTCACATGAAAGTGAGCACAACTCCTTGATTGAGTTCGTAAGTCGAGACTGAGATACCAGGCATTGCTCACGAAGCACCTGACAGAGCAAACTCTTGTGTTCCTACAGCTATAAAAGCTTCCCCAAACACAGCTCACCCCGTCAAGGTACAGGTAACTACTTGTCTTGCCATTTGCTAAGCAAAGACAGTCAGTGAGTAGGACAAGATATTTAAACCAACGATTCCATTAAACAGTTATTTTATCACAGTGACTAGATGTGCTCCATACAGGCGCTCAAAAGAACAACACCCATGGTAGTGACCATTAAAGAATGCCCAATATTTTTCTGCACTCCTTGTCTGAAAACTAACACTGGTACCGTGGGCATGCTGACCCATGAGATTCCCCAAGCAGATACTAACTTTAATTATAGGACCAAGTTCTTCTATTGGCAATGCTGGCACTGTGAGTTGTCTGATGCAGGAGACAAGGCTCACAGTAAATCTGCGCGCATCTCAAGCTGTGTTGTGTAAGAGGTGGGGAGGAGAGCAGAGCCATTTCCACTATCACCTACCTGACCCACTATCACCCTCTGACATCTCTGTAACACAGTGTGAGAGGAGCAGCTGCGGTCTCCATTTCTCACAGCTATTGATCCAGGCTTCTGCAAACCCAGATAGATGCTGCTGCATCAATTGCGCTGTGTCAACAGTATTAAAATTCCCTCTGCAGCCTTAACAGCTAAAGACTTACTTTGGAGCAGAACACATTACGCTGCCTTCCTCCAACATTTTTTGAATGAACAGGGCTTGGACAGGCTTCTAAAAAACAGCTGTTTGGGGCAGTTGCTGCAACACTGCTTATGAACCTCCAGCAATCCAGTGCTACCCTTAAAGCTAGTATCTCCTCATCCCACTGTGGGGCTGCAAGAAAGGTCTGTTTGCACAGCTTGTCCCCAGGAAAAGCTTGCCCTACCCAGCCAGCCTCAAACTCAGACTCTCCCAAAATCCATCTCTCATCAAAGGGCAGAGTTGGCTTTTGCTCAAGAATGGCAACTGCAGCTTGAAGCTATGGAAGTTTGGGGGACAGAAACAATTTCCCTTGTTATCACCATGCTGCCTCCATGCCTGCTCTCTGCTATGGCATTCCACGTTCCCCTTTTAGCCTCGGATCACACAGTGTGGCCAGAAGCCACCAAAAGCACACCGGGTCCCACCTGGAGGCAGCAGGAGCAGTTCTGGTCAGTGTGCTGCTGAGTGCCATCATCTCCCCATCTCCTCAGCTGTCACAGAGGAACAACCCATTTGCCAGTGCAGCATATTTCAAGTGGAAGATTTACAGAATCTGAGAGTTTGTATCTTAGCAACCACCAGGGCATCAAGGAAGCAGTTTAACTGCTTAAGTTTTCAATTAAAAGATCCACCACAAACATGCACAGACCACAGGGCCATCACAGTGCTGCATCAGGAGAGAAGAAGTGACCCTGAGCCACAACCCTCCCCAGCACAGACAGACTGGGTGGTGGCACAGCCCCTGCCTACAGCATCGGATGGATCTCCTGCAGGAGATGAGGCATGGGAAGGGCTTCTTTTTGCAGAGAAACCCTGAGGTTTCATTGGCTGGTCTCAGAGGAGCCAAAACAAGATTCCCTGCTTTTCAAGAGAGAATAGAGATCTCCCACAATAAGAATCCAGAGGGAAACAGGCACAGATTGACCTTCATGAGATGATGCAGTGCATCTTCTCCCTGCTTTGTGCAACCTAGAGACCTTTCCCTCAGTTCTCAGTTTCCCTCCTCTACAAACTGTAGTTACTTTGCACAGAAAAGTAGGTCATGTTCCATTGCTGTACTTCATAGGCAGACCTGGAATCAAGTCAGAGAACATCAGACATTGCAGGGTGGGCACTCACAGCCTTCCATGGGGCTGAGAAAGGTGGCAACTCTTGTCTTTCCTACACTTGCCTCATGGATGCACTATGCTGGAGAAACTGTATGTAATAAGGCAAAATTCAAACAAAAAAGAAATTCTGCCAGGACAGCTACCAGTCCCAAAGACCGGTGCTGGATGAGGACTGTGATATGAGGCACAGTGCATGCATGGACTCTAAGTGCTCTGAGCTGCAAGACAGATGGGCTGCCCTGGGCTAAAGAAACCTCAGGATATAGGATTGAAAGATTCCCATGGAGACCCAGTTTTGAAACAACGATTAAAGGCCAGTTGAACTGTTACTAGAAGCTGCATTAGGAGAGATTAATAATCTTCCATTTACAACTCCAGGAAAGCATCTTCTGTAAAGAGCAGACTGAAAAATCTGCTTATTGCAAAACCGTTTGCTGGGATCACCACCAGTCTCTCATGCCAGCGCAGGCATACAAGCACTGCTCGGGCAGTAGTGACTGGATGTGGTGACTGTGAAAAAGTTTGCCAATTCCTTAAATATTTCTTGCCAGTATGTGCTTTGAACAGTGTTTAGCAACAGAATGAACTGAAATTGCTCTGCACAGCACCAAGAAATAATCTGGATTTTGACGGAGTATTTGATTTGGATTATTATTAGATTATTCAGCCAGCGATACCCACCCTGACCTTGGGCTGGCAGATTGAGCTTTGATTCCACAGATTCTTGATCAGAATTCCATCTGTTCAAGCAGACTTTCAGAGCATCCAAGCCCTATTAGAATAACATTTCCATTACCTAATTAATTGTTTGAAGCTATTCTCAGTGATTACTTACTGAAGTTATAGTTTGTCACCTGAGGCAACAAATGTATTGTTGTCGTGGAAACATCTCCGCTGTCACCGGCTCTGAATAGAGAGGGAGGAACAGGAGAGGGAACTGAAGAAGCGAGGCTTTGTTGAAATGCCTCACTTTTGAAAGTGAACAATTATTTCAGATAAAGCCAGGGATGCAATGCACACAGATCTCTGAGAGAGGAGGGGTCAGCGGGTTTGGTTTGAGTCCTTTCTTCTGCAGTGAGACACAGCTGCCCTGCACCGCCGCCCCATGGCCAACAGCAACACCCACAAGGCCCCTCCTGCTGCCAAACACGCTGCTGTTGCAAAAAGGTCCTGCTATCCTCAAAAACAGAAGAACTCCGTAACAACCTGCCATCGCCTCTCTACTTCATTTGGAAGATACTAAACTCTGACTTCTGGGATTTGTTGTGTCAGCCTTTACCTGGTGTGTGACTCTCACACAGCCCTTCTGCTTTCCCCACATCTGCACACTCATTTCTAGTGCGTGCACGCCTGAAGAGAGCTGCAGCCAGAATTCCCTTAGAACAGCACATCTTCTACCAAAGTTTGAACACTGACACAGATTTTCTCTCCTTATTGTTCAGATAACACAAAGTTAGTAAAAGGATTTAATCTAGATAAGCCCTGATATTTTTGCATCTAACACATGAAAGTAGCAGAGAATGCCATCTCTACCAGAACAGACATTGGGACTGCATGTTGTCACCACACAAATTACAAGAGCAAACAGTGCTGATTAACACCACCAAGTTTTTATTATAAAAACCTCCTCAAAATGCTGCTGAACTACAAGGCAGCCAGAGAGTGCCTCTCACAAGACAG